CCGTCGGGCATGGCTTTCGTGTAAAGGGATCCCACCGTTTGTGTGGAGTCATTCCACCTTCAGAAATAATGCAGAAAAATGGGGACAACTTATCTCTATCGAGGAAGGGACCTTAAATCCCGACTCGTTTGATAGGGCTTTGTTTCAGATTATTACGAACTGCCAAGCTCGTGTAGAAGAAGCCTTTGATTTGAAAGTTGGGGAGTAGATTTTTAAAGTTTATGTTTATGAGTTTGAACCTTGTTTCAGCCCAGAATATGTCTGGGTAGATTCATCTTTAATGGAAAAGGCAGGTGCTTACCCGGTATCCACGTTGGGGGAGCTAGTTGGTGTCTCGCCGGTTAAGTCTTCTGTGATGAAAGAGACTCGATTGTTAATTGAGGGCTCACTGGCGGGGGGCGGAGCGTGGTGCGCAGACGGTGTAGAAGCGGCTAAAGTTCTATTGATTGAAAAAGAACATGTTGTCGGTATAGGTCCCGAGGTAGATTTTAATATGGTAGCTTCACATGCTTCGTTCTGCCAGAGGAGCGTTAATGTTAATGAAAGAGAGGCAGCGAGTATGGGGCTAGTGGAATGTGAGGTGGAAAGGAGGGCTGTTGTTGAAGAGGTTATGTACGATGTTCTTATTGTTGATTCTGTTGGACCAAAGATCAATGAAAGTGGTCGGCTTATGACACTAAATAGAAAATTGGTAATGGCTCAATCCTAGAAGCTTAACCATGTTATTCCCATTTCACAAGATAATATTTTTTTTATCAAAAGTTGTCAAAGGGTTGATCTTGAATGTAAACAGAAGTGTATGCACAAGCAACGTTTTGAAAAGAAACATGAAGTATATGAAGAGGCGAAAGCTGACTCAAGCTGTCAGAAGAGGTGCAGCTGATCGAGGTATCTCTGCGAGGGAGAACTCAGCTCATCGGATGGAGCTTGAATTCGGCTGATCTGATTTTCGAATAAGCTTTGGTTCTGATAGGTGTTAGGGCATTCGTTTTGGCACTCGATGCACCTGTGTGTTTCAAGTTTTCTGTTCGTAGCCCCGAAACTTTTTCTGATTGGTTGGTGCTGAAAGGGTTTTTATCTAACCGTTTACATCATTGTTTTGCTCCTTATATTCTGTCTACTATTTCTTCTTTTTATTGCGGGTATTCTAGCTTGAAGCTTATGTTTCCTTGTCTGGAATCTGTTTTCCAGTAGCTCTGGTGGTTGCCAACGCTTATCTTTGTGGATATTCCTTAATTAGGGATGATCCACCAAAGATAAGCAAAAAGATGATTTGGGTCAGTTGGGTAGTCTCGTGTAGTCTTTGGTCTCTGGTAATATGCTTCGGTCCTTGGACGAGTCTGTTGGCAGCTAGTGTAAGTTGGGAGCTGTGTTCCATAGTTTTTCTGTTGTTATTGATGGCCATTTCTCTTAAGGTTGTATTGTTCTTTAGAATATCGAGCTTTTTGTCCTTACTCTTCATTGGAACAGTTTCAACAAGTGTGGTTCTCCATGAATTAGGGCTAGTCTTTGTTCAAGCTCTGGTTGCGGGTGATGTTGTGTTTGATGTGTTGGCTCGTTACTTTGGTTATGCTGTCGGTGTTTGATCTTCTTTTAGTTCTCAGTTCATTTTAATAATTTGTTTGTGTTTGAATTTCTTGAAATGGTGTTGGATTTGTTGTAGAGCTGGAGTATGGTTTGTGTAATGTTACAACTTCGTGTTTTTTTATTCTTACCACCTCAAGGCATACTCTTTTTCTTCTATTTAGGGTTAGGGAGGTTTTTTAATGAGATCCTCGATGTGGTGTACTTTGTAACCGTTCTTAATACAAAATACCCTCTTTCAAAAAAAAAAATACAATCATTGATACTTCACAAGTAATTATCACACGCCACAAGTTTGAGAGCAATATTAGCAAACATTAAACAAAGGATAAGTTGTAGAATTACAAGGATGTTTGAGAAGGAGACGAGAGGTATGACTAATTATTTTGCTCTTAGGATTAATTTTGATTGATTATTTTTATTGGGGGTGTGATTTATGGCAAATTTCTCTAAAAATCACCTTGACTAACTTTATTTCCCTGTCAGACACCCTTTCATATTTATTTCTCGATCTAACACTCTTTGCAGGAAGGCGCGACCATGCACAGCGCTTTACGCCACGTGGCATGGTCGCGCCTTGTGAAACGTGTAAAAAAATAGATACTAGTTTTGTAAATATTTATAAATTTGTGCCTAATATATAATTAATTTCTATTATAGTGATATTTGTGTAAAAACATCAATTTTATTTATTTATTTTTTGTTTTTGAAATTTTTTTCTACATTAAAATCTTATAATTTTATTTTGCAAATTATTTTATAATTCGACAAATTTTGATTTTTGCATGAAATTACACAATACATATAATCTAGTATAGGAAAACATTGGGGGTAAGTATTTTAAAATATGAATAATTTTATAAAAGTTTTATAAATAGTATTTCTTTTACAAAATGATAATGATGATGATGATGATAATAAATATTTTGTAATTTAAAAAATTATAAATTTCATATATTTTTGAAAAATTTATTGACTTTTAAAATTAATTGTTTAAAAATATAAAAAATATTAAAATAAATTTTAATTACAATTGAGTGATCAAATAAATTATTATTCATTAATTATTATTTTTTAATAACAATTGAGAGTAAGTATTTTAAAATAGGAATAATTTTATAAAAGTTTTATAACTAGTATTCATTTTACAAAATGATGATGATGATGATGATAAATGTTTTATAATTTAAAAAATTATAAATATTCATATATTTTTTAAAAATTTATTGACTTTTAAAATTAATTGTTTAAAAATATAAAAAATATTAAAATAAACTTTTAATTACAATTGAAGGATCAAATGAATTATTATTCATTAATTATTATTTTTTAACAACATTTAATAATGTTTATTCAGTTTTAATAAAATTAGAAATTAATATTTATTTTATATTTTTTAAAATTAATATTAGAAATAATATTTTAAATAAAGAGGTGATATTTTTTTAACTTTACATTCTTTTTTTATTGAATTTTATTCATTTTTAATTCATTTTTATTGATTTTTAAAAAAATGAATAATAATTAATTTGATATCTCAATTGTAATTAAAAGTTTATTTTAATTTTTTTTATATTTTTAAACAATTAATTTTAAAAATAAATAAACATTATTAACTGTTGTTAAAAATAATATCACAAAAAAAATTGACGTTTTGACATATATATCACCCTAATAGAAAGTAATTAAATATTAGGCATCATTTTATAAATATTTACAAAATTAACACATGAGTTTTTTACACGTTCAACAAGAAGCGGTGCATGGGCCGCGTCTTACCCCACGTGGCGTCACATCAACGTAAGGCGCGGTGTATGGGCTACGCCTTCCTGCAAAGGGTGTTAGATCGAAAAATAAAGATGAAATGATGTCTGACAAGAAAATAAAGTTGGTCAAGGTGACTTTTGTGGCTCTAATTGTTAATGGAAAATTATTGTTGTGACGGCTTGTGGAGGTTCACCCATTTTGATAAAATAGTATGAAAACAACATTGAATAGTCGTCGAGAGAGGGGAAGAGCCCAAGAGAGAGAGAAGTCTCCCTTTCGAGCCTTGCACGATGACTTATATATAAGTCCTATAGCTGGTATCAGGCTTAGGATGGTGATAGTGATGGTGATGATTATTTGCTGTTGGGAGGCTAAATAGATCTGGTTCTCAAATAGTGGATCACAGATCACGTGAAGGTGTTATAGTTATCCGGAGGATATAGAGCTCCAAAGACTTTGAGGAACTTCGAAAATCTTTTGGAGCTCCGAGGGCTTTAAGGATCTCTGGAGACCTGAAAGAATGGCAGCGGAGACATGGTTTCCGGAGGAGGAGGTATAACAACTACAAGCAGCTCTATATTCTCAACGCTTGCTGTTTTTCTACCAAGTGGTTCTTAGGACTACCCTTCGATGCGAACCACAACCAAACCAGCAACTTCATCGGCTCTTTGTACCATGGTGCATATGATCCCTCCTTCCACAATTTCAACAACGGGACACTGATCACGCTCTCAACCAGTACAATGAAGGATATTATTGTGACTGTGATGTGAAAGGAACACCTAGACCTACAAACCCACAATATTGAGAATTGCAAGCTCAAAACAATGATACGAATTCTTTGTGCTTTAGGGTACTAAAATCCACATAAATTCCCTACTAATGCTTCTTGAGGGCCATTAAAGGATTGATTTCTTCATATTTACTCAACTTGTTTTCTGTCATGTTCCCACACACTACAACAGTGCTGTTGGATCTCAATGTATTTGGCTAAGGGGTTTGCCTACAATGTAATCCACATCTTCGTACATAAATAAATTAAACGTCTTTATATGTATATGAACAAAGTTACCCTTCAATATTAAATTTGATAAATTAAGTTTTAAAATAAATAAATAGAAATAAATCTGAATCCAGAGTCACACATTGGTGAAGGATTTGCCATTCATTTTCCTGGAACCGTTTTTCCCTCACATTCACAGAAATAAACCTTTAGAAAAAGAAAGAAAACAAAAAATAGGCAATGCTTCGAGTGGGAGAGACCTCTTCATCTTCATCTTTTCTATGACTGTAAAGCAATACAACAATCAATAATTGGAGGAGTTCAATCTCCTCTTCTCCTTCTCTATTTCTTTTATTTCGATATTTTCCCCATAGTTATGGATATTCTATTTATTTTCATGCATATATGATACCATATGAATCAGTAATGTACAAAGAGATTCCAAATTTAAAGAGCTTTTGATTCCCAAGTTGTAGGTATGTTTTTTTATATTTGTTTATCTCTAATGTATAATCTTTATATACCTTTTTTTTATTTTCAAGATTTTTTCTTTGTTTTTACTCCATCTCTGAGAAAATAAGCATATCTTCTATTTTGGGTGAAGAAGATTTCTTATTTCCATTGCAAAATAATCTGCCATTGTTGATTACCAGCCAAAATGAAGGGTTTTCTAAGAGGTATAAAATATGTTTCCCACATTTTTGGTGAGTACCGAGTACCCAGGTTTCTTTCCCCGTTGTTTATTATACGTATAATTTGTTTAAAACATTATCTGTTGATGTGGAGCAAATTAACAATTATGCAGAGGATGATAAAGAACCGGAAATGCAAATTGGACACCCTACAGATGTAAAACATGTTGCTCATATCGGCATGGATTGTCCTACAGTAGCTAAACCGAGTTGGGTATGTTGTCGTTTTTCTTTTTATTCGAAAGTGATGCAATCATCGTGATTGTAGACATATCGAAAATATATTAGGATGAATGACAATATATTTATTTATAATCCATACAGATGAATGAGTTCAACTCTGACATCCCACATTAACTCCTTCAAATGGTAATGAACTACAATTATTGCCTCCTCCTCCAGGTTTGTTTGTTTGTTTTGTTTACAGTAATCAAGCACTTTATAATCATTCGATGTAATCCGAATTTGACAGATTTTGTCAGGATTCAAATTCTAGCAGGTTTTTTTTAGAAAGAAATCGATCCTTTCGAAAATGATAGATTCCTCTTATAAGGATTGAATCTCGAGTTTCTATGTCACATTATGCATAAGCAATGAAAAATAATCAATCTTTTCACATACGGATCGGTATTTCCGTATGTAAATCGATCCCGGAGGTTACGTGGCCATTATTCATGTGTGAAACACAGAATTTGATCCAAATGACGGATCATGTTTTATATATCATATTTAAATGTGAATCTTGGTGCAGGAAGTCGGGACTCATTGGCAAGTAACGGCAGTGAGAAGCCAAAGAAGTCTAGAGGCAAACAATCAGTAGGCAGTAGCCCATCTGCAGGGTCCGAGAAGAATACTAGGCGCCAACGTACGCCGGAAGAATCCGCTAATCGAGATTCATCTTCCGACGAAAGGCAGCAACAACACTCGAGTGGTGGTACCGAATCATCTTCTCAAGTACCTGACATCCCCAAAAAATATCGGCAAAAGAAATCAAATAGATCATGTGGTGGATCAGAGGGATCTCTGTCGCCAGCCATATCAAATCTTGAGATCAAAGCATGAAAAGACTGGAGCACTTTGTAAAATAGAGGTTTAAAACATCAACTACGTAACATAAAATCATCAACTTTTCCGTGTGGTTTTCCCCCCTTCCCATGCCCATTTCCGGATAAAAATAGATTAATATTGCATCAAATCATCTATATATATATATATATATATATATATATATATATATATATATATGTCTATTATAATTCCTGCAACTTTAGCTTGCATGTTTTTCACAAGCCATGAAGCAAAGAGAACAACACTTAACATTGAAATGCGCCCATGAATTCTTGAAATGCACTCGGAAAATTATAAACTTTGAACTTGGGAAACCTAGAAAAGAAAAGCCGATGCTGTAATTGCCATTCTCGATCAAATACCAATCCAGAAAAGTAAAAGCAGAAACGATAGAATCTCACATTCAAATAACAGACGTATTTTGTCTCGCCTAACGGCTCCAAATAGCTTCATTCACATAGTTTCAAGACACAATAGTGAATGTGGTCTCCTTGTTAATCCAATAATGTCCCAATGAGAACTTATCATGCAATGCCACCTCTACCAATACTACTTCCTTGACTGGAATTCCTGTTTCCAATCACAGTACCAACGGTGGATATGTGAAATGTTCCTCAGTTACATATGCTTGATGGTCGATGATGCGTCAATGCCATACATTATCTTAAAAATAAGGATAAACTATACTATTAATATCTAAATTATTATTTTTGTTTTGTTTTGGTACCTAAACTTTATTTTTTTCAAAATCATACCTAACATCTAATTTAAGTTTGATTTTGATACAAAGCTGAAAAAATTAATGGAACTGTTGTACATGGCACTTTATGAGTAAATTACATCATTAATCACTCAATTATCTTTTGACTTTTATTTTGGTCATTGAAGTTTAATTTTTTTAATTTAATCACTTAACTTTCAAATTACTCATATTTTAATAACTCTAAATTATTTTATTAATACATGAGGGATTGTGATTTAGGGTTTTGGTATAATTTTAGGTTTGGGTATAATTTTAAATTTATTTTTATGTTAATTATATATTAATAAAATAATAATAAAAATATATTGATAAAATAAATGAAAGTGATTAAAACAAGAATAATTTGAAAGTTAAGTAATTAAATTGAAAAATTTTAAACTTTTGTGACCAAATATGAGTGTGAATATAGTTGAGTGATGAATGATATAATTTACCTATAAAAAATACCACATCAATTCCATTAAGATTTTAACAACAATGTAACAAAATGAAACCTAAACTAAACATTAGGTATGATTCTAAAAAACAAGAAAGTTTAATTACCAAAATAAAATAAAAGTAATAATTTAAGTAATAAATATGTAGTTTATCCAACCATATTTATCCGTCAGCATAAAAGATTGTGCACAGCAATAAAGTAGCAATAAAGTATGAGATGGTTAAGAAGAGTATCGGTTAGCAAAGTTATGTTCTTGAATGTGCCACCAAATCTAACTTTTTAATGATTTTTTTTTACCATTTTGCCTATAATACAACTTTATCGTTTTCATAAAACTTTCTTGGAATCCAAACACTCCACGTTTCCACATATTCACGTTTCCACTGTATAAAAGGGTCCAAAAACTCCAAAGCAAGTTGCCAAGCGAACAAAATCTTATTTAACAAAGAAAAGAGAAAGAGAGATGGTGGTAGAGACGAAAGAGCGAAAATACAGTCATGGGTTTTGTTCATCGGAGCTGGAGACGCTGGGTAGCTTTGCTCAAGTTTTTTTTCCTTGTTTGCCCTCCAATCCTTGTTTTGAAGGAAGGCAAAATCACCCTAACAAGGCTGTTCAATCCTTCCTAAAAGCTTCTGCCTCTGAATCTCCAATCCCAGACGAGGTAATACCAACCTTTTTAACTTACCTTCTTTACTTTCATCTTCATTCCAAAGAATTTCATCCTCCTATTATATTTCATTCTTTAGAATTTTATATGTTCGTCTTCCGAAACGAAGTTAGGATCAAACATTAAGAAAATCAAAAGAATACTAAATATTTTGAGAAAGACGAAAAACCTATTTGATTAATATTTAAATAAAAAAATCTTAAAAATACTATTATACCAAAATATTTTAAGGGGCAACAACCCCATCCATATAAAGAATGGCTCGTTCCAGTTTATCAATAAAATTTTAGAAATGCATGTCTCTTAATATAAAACTTTGTATCTGTATCTGAATATGAATATATTACTATGATAATCTTAAAAAACATTACAATACTACCGTTATACTGCATTACAACTACAATTGAATGCTACACTGATTACAAACTGCTGTATTGATACACGTGTGTATATATATATACTAGTTCTGAAGCAGGATTTTCAAGTGTAAGTACATTTTTGACAAGTGGGATTCTGACAAATTGAGGATTTTGTTTACAGATAGCAGAGTTGGTGAAGAAAAGAGCATTCACAGAGGTATTGATACTGTTGAGGGCTGTACTGATGATACTGTCGACCAGGGTGGGAACCTTGTTGCTGTGTGGAAGGCATTGTTTGGGGGACAAATGGCCATTCATCAATCGATTCTCATGCATCACAGTGGAGAAGAGAGAGAAAATAATACAAATGTGGTTCAAGGAACATCGGTTCTTATTTACTCCCATTAGGGTTGCTTTCGTCTTCTTCAAAGTCATGTGCCTTTACGTTTACTTCTCTCGGGTACTCATTCAATGCCCTCTTCTCCGGGAAAGTCTCACGTGCGATAACTTTAAAATACGGCTAAGGAAAAGTGCTATCGGTTTTGTTATTATTTTTTTAACATTTCCGATAAAAAATAATTATTTTTTCTACCGATTTTTTACCGAAAATGTTAAAAAAATAATAACAAAACTAATAGCGTCTTTACTTATCTATATATTAATGATATCGCACGGTAGAATTACCCATCTTTTTCCCATTTTTTTTCATTTTTTCTTCCTGTTTTGGAATAGGATTGAAAATGACAACAGAAAGTGTTGAATTGGATTTTTAGTCATTCTGACTCAACTTAAAAGATATATATCTTTTACCTCAACCTAACACGATCAGAAGAACATATTTTTTATCTGCGTCTAGAGTATAAATTTGATCTGATCCGATTAAATGTTAAATAAGGATCTAATTAAAATTTTTATAGAGAGATGAATATTATAGCAACTATCCAAAATTTTATATAAAAAAAATTACATTATTATCCTTGAGTCGGGTAAGAGGTCTTTCATCCTCAACTCAAACTTAACCCTCTTCCTATATAAAATTCGACTCAAACTCGATTTAAACTTAAGTATTTTAAAAAAAAGAAAGAAACCTTATCTTAAATCGAAATCCATCAATTTCCAATTAAATTACTATCTCTAATTAGGATCAATGGTTTTATTTCACTAAATAAGAGTGAATTTTCTTTTAGAAAGACTAAGAATCTCGAAGATTTAGGATAAGCCTAGAAAGTTAAGGTTGTTATATGGTATTCTTATTTTTAAGAAATTTAATTGAATTATACTTCATTTATTTGAACCAGTTAAGTTAATTAATTTTTTATTATATTTATTTAAATATTCTGATTAATATATATAGGAATTTATATTTTACTAATTTAATAGATCAATATTTCAAATTTTTAAATAAAAATACATTAATAAAACTTGGAGGAAATAATAGTCCAATTATTTTTAATGCAATCTAAGGTTGGGTGGATCCAATAGGCTAACAAGTTGGAAACATAGGAAAGGTATATTTAACTGTTAGTGTTAGCATTTAATTTCAATCTGATGGATATTCAACTGTTTGTAGATTGTAATTAGTTTCTCGTACTATGAATTTAATGACGTGGGTTCAACTCAATTAACTGTAGCAATAATAAGGAAAATTATTAACCACTTCTTTTTTTTCCTACATAATTTTCTAATTTTAGCTGTAATAAAAAACAAAATTATTTTTAATTCTCTAGCATTAAATAGTCTTAAATCCTAGACCACCTCAAGTATTTTCTTTAATCATAGTTATAATTTACACAACTTTATTTAATTGAATCCTAAGTCCTAAACTTCCTCTATCCTGAAGGGTGTGTTCTTTTTTTTAGAGGTCTCAATTATCTTTTTAAAAGAAGTATTGTTCTCCTTAGAAGTCTTAAATCCGAATAACTGTGCATGTAAGGGATTATTTTTAATGGTTAAATTTTTTTTAATAGATATAACCTTATAATCACCCTAAACTATTAAAAAATTCTAAATCATAACCTTTAAATATAACGTGTAATTAAAATAAATAAACTTGTCTAAACTTCAGTTTAAATAGTCAGTGTGTTAAATAATATTTTATCTTTATAGACTATAATTTATTTAGTAGAAGACTTGTGCAGTGAATAATTTTTTTAAACAATCTCTATGTAGGGAAGGGAAAGGAGAATTTTACTATTAATGAATATTTAAACTCAAAATCTAAAGAAGAAATAATATATCAACTGAGAACTTTTAACATGTTTTAAAGAATATTAACGAATTTAATGAATTTATATACATTCCCATGTTAGAAAAAGTCAATCTTATGTTAAAATAATCTTAGTTAGATTGCGTACATATCATATTATATTTATATTCTATTGTTACCCAAATTAAAGATAAAAGAAATTGGATAATATTGGTGTAAAAACCATTTATAGAAAAGAAAATGGTGGTTCAAACTTCATTATCATTATAATAAATTTTATTCTTCAAACCAATTTGTCAAAGAAAAAAAAATGTGATAATCCAGGTAGGAGAAGATGGTGATAATCCAGCTTGGGAAGCTATTGGATATAGTGTTGACATTGTTGATGATAAGTCACAAGTAACAAAGGATAGGCCACTCCAAAATGGACTGATTGAGACAGCGCACGAGAAAGACTCGACTCTTTATCGATCTCTAACACAGAAAGGCCTCCGAGTTGCCGAAGATACCGAACAAAATGTGTGCAGGATCAAATGCGATGCTGTAATTGTTGGTTCTGGTTGCGGTGGTGGTGTTGCAGCCGCAATGCTGGCTGGTGCTGGCCTTAAAGTTGTTGTTCTAGAGAAGGGAAACTATTTTACTTCGGCCGATTATTCACCCTTCGAAGGCCCCTCGCTGGATCGACTATATGAATCTGGAGGAGTCCTTCCAACCCTCGACGGGCAGTTTTTGCTTCTTGCAGGGTCCACAGTTGGTGGAGGCTCGGCTGTAAACTGGTCAGCCTGCATCAAAACACCGAAACCTGTACTAAAAGAATGGGCTGAAGACTATCAAATACCTCTCTTTGGAAGCACTGAATATGTTTCCGCGATGGAAACTGTTTGTGAAAGAATTGGTGTCACGGAAGATTATATAGAGGAAGGATTTCAGAACCAAGTACTTCGGAGAGGGTGCGAAAATCTCAGCCTCGAAGTTGAAAAAGTGCCGAGGAATTCGTCCAAGAGCCATTACTGCGGATCATGTGGTTTCGGTTGCAGAAGGGGAGACAAGAAAGGGACCGATCGAACATGGCTCGTCGATGCCGTAAACAATGATGCAGTGATTATAACAGGGTGCAAGGCCGAAGGATTCGTATTAGAACAGAACAAGTTGGGCAGTACTACAAGGAAAATGAAGTGCTTGGGAGTTATTGCAAAGTTTTCAAATCAAAATATCACAAAGAAACTGCACATAGAGGCCAAGGTAACAATATCAGCATGTGGGGCACTTTTGACACCACTTTTGATGCATTCAAGTGGGTTGAAGAATCGAAACATCGGTAGGAACCTTCATCTTCATCCAGTCCTAATGGCATGGGGTTACTTTCCAGACTCGAATTCCGAGTTCAAAGGGAAATCCCATGAGGGTGGAATAATCACATCAGTACATAAAGTAGTAGCAGATGACAACAAATTGAAAGCCATCATTGAAACTCCTTCATTGGGGCCTGCACAGTACTCTGTATTATGCCCTTGGTTGTCTGGTCTTGACATGAAAACTAGGATGCTAAAATTCTCCAGAACTGCTCATATGATAACAATAATAAGAGATCACGGATCCGGAATAGTTAATGCTGGGGGACGAGTAACTTATAATTTCGACGCATTAGACCGACAAAACTTAATAGCCGGCTTGCGACATGCGTTGAGGATATTAGTAGCAGCCGGGGCAGTTGAGGTGGGCACTCATCGGAGTGATGGGCAGAGAATAAGATGCAAAGGGAAAAGCAATGAGGAGATAGAGGAGTTTCTGGACTCGGTTTCTTCAGCAACAAGCCCGTTTTCAACAGGCGAAAACTGGGTCCTGCACACCAGCGCTCACCAGATGGGAAGCTGTAGAATGGGGATCAATGAGAAAGAAGGTGCAGTCGATGGAAACGGAGAGAGTTGGGAAGCTGAAGGATTGTTTGTTTGTGATGCAAGTGTTTTGCCAAGTGCCGTCGGTGTAAATCCAATGATCACTGTCCAGTCCACTGCTTATTGTCTCTCAAAGAAGATTGCAGAGTCTTTGAAACAACAGAAATAGCCTTCTGAATTATGGTACATGTCATTGTTGCATTTCTCTACATTTGTTTGTGTGCATTGGATTGAAAGAATAAGAAAAAGTAATATATGTACAAATCGGTCAATATCATGACGACGGTGACCAGGTTTCAAATTTAAAGGAATTTTGTGCTGTTGTATTCGAATTTGTGCCAGACAAAAGTATTTAATATCATGAATTGCTGCATATTTTTTGTTCTATCACTAGGAAATGGGATGATATTTTCACTTAACAATATAATTTGGAATAAAAAGATATACAAACTAGATCAATTAGAAAGTTTATTGTGCTTGATGATCAATCGTTCCCATCATTATACAGACAATGAAATATACATTTCCAGCTTCAAAAAGGAAAAAGAATGCCTTTGAGTATTGACTAAAGACATCAGATTGATTCAGATACCCGCAAATCCACGTCAGAATATTGTCGTTTCGATGCCGGTACTTGTTCTTGCACTTGCAGAGCTTTACAATTTGGATTTATTCAGATACCAACAAACCCAAGATAAAATGTTGATCCTGGGATTGTCCTTTACGTTAACTTGGTTAGGGACTTCGTCCCCGGATTTTAACAATCCTTTTTAGCCGTCAGAATCAGTCTCACGGAATGGTAATGGAACCGTCTTTACCGCCCTGAACTTGCCAACATTGTTTAGATGTTCATTCTCTAACCTGTTCAGTAACAGTGAGTCCAGTGTTGGATTAGATTACAAGACATCATTTAAGCATCATATGGCTTGTTTTGGAATTGTTTGATGGAAAGTACCTGTAAAAATTCCAATGCCCTCGTCGGATAACCTCCAGGGAAGCCAAGAAGAAGTCTAGCAAATGTGTCTGAACCGGATTGAACCGAAACCGCATGATGCTCTCTACCCAGGCAACTCTTAGAACTACATTCAAGGCCTATAATCATAGAATTGAGTAATTATGAACTTCAGAGGAAAAAATAGTATACATATAAACATATTTATATATGAACAAGGCAGTGGTTTCAAAATTGACCAAGGATAACTCACAATCGAGAGGTAGTAAATGCTCTTGTTCTTTAGAATTAGATCATCTCTAAGCCATGGATTTCTGGAATTTGGATTAAGAAGCCCCCAATCCTTGGCGAAATCCCAATATAATTGGTAAACTGTAGCCACAACTGAAGTGACCAACACTACAGAAAACCATAGATTGTTACTCTGTGTAGCATATGTGAGCCTAGCACCAGCTGCTACCATGGCAGAAACGTACTTCCCCATGTTAGCCAAGTGGTTCAGGTCATATTCATCAAACCATCTTCTTGCACACTTAAAATTTCAATTGAAAAACAATGTTAGTTCAGAAAACGTATGAGAAAGCTGAGAAATCGATGCCAAGTAATGTGTTTACTTGTAATTATGGAACTCTTTAATGAGCAAATAATGAAATGTAAGGGATTCCATGGAATATTCTTACCTGCATGGCTCGCCAATAATATGGCAAAAATGAGATTACATAAGCAAGCTGTCTATACATTTTTCCATTTTTGCATGTTGCATATTCATGTGTTTTGAAACTTCCAGCAAGAAAGTAGCAGGCTGTTGATTCCAAGTGTCTTAGCAATGGAATCTGTATTCAAAAGAAAGATAAATGATGTTTATTCTAAAATAATTTTGAAATGAGTGCTAAATCAGTAACCTTTGCCTGTCTCTGACTAATTTACCTGACTAGTGAGTTGGTCAGCCATGAAAAAATCAACCATCAAAACCTGCATATATGTATAAGCAAAAGTAAGAACATGCTAAGTTACAACTTCTGGAACTTCATACAAAACAAATTGAAAAGATGAAGGTGAGAAGCTTGCAAGTGCATTGATAACCTTATACAATGGAGAGCATATTATGTTACGTATTATTCGAAGGAAACAGTATCGAGTCGGCCGATAGACAATGTCGAATGGGCATACCAGCAAGCCAATGAATATCTGCAAATCGAGATTAAAAATTAGTACCTCATATACTTCAAAGTTTTTGGTTACAAACAGTATAGAAATTAATGAAGTTGTTTAACCAATACCAGAAGGAGGATTCCAGGAATAGTGTCAACGTGAGAAGGTGAAAATCCCCCAGCCCTTAATAACAGGTGGATGACCATGGCCCCAACCACAGACGTCATGAAAGTGGTACAAATAAGGAATGCATCTCTATACTTCAGGGCTGTGCTTGATGCAAACTCAAAGATGAAGTTGTAGTTTATTCTCGTAGCTTTCCACATGAACAAGTTGCACCCATACAAAAACAAGTGCAAACTTAACAATGCAAATACACTGCACAATAATGAAATTAATACTTTCAGTTAGTAATTGCGACCAATTCAAGTGTGCCATATTTAATAGCATATTAACTAACATTACTTGTTAATAGGTAAACTTGATAAATAGTTTGGTAGGCTTGGCTGTAGGATCAGTTCTGCTGTGCATTTGAGAAATTAAACTATAGGTGTCGAAACAAGGATTGATTGAATGAGATGTTGGGGTGATTGCACTTCCGAAAATTTTAAATTCCCATATAGTTAAAGTATTTTTCATTTATGAACTAGTTCTGTACCACTAAAATTTTTTAATTTCATAGCCCTAAATTTTTAATATAACTTCCTAAAAGTTTGTATCCCTAACTTAAAATCCGACGTCCATCCCTATATTCAAACATATCTGGACATATGTATGATGATATCATCCTTCAAGAATACATTAACATAACGGATCAATTTACTGCTTATATTGTTCTGATAATTGCAATTACATATTTTAATATGAGAAAACTCATAGAGGCAAATTGAAAACGAGTACCTGAAAACAGGGTAGACAGTCTCCATGTAAGCTGTTTCTGTGCTAGGTGAGAATATACCAGACAAGTGTGCCAATATTACATATACACTAAACAATGATACAAAAGAACCTGTAAACAATCCTGCAAAAAAAGAAAAAAATAATAAAGATTAAATTAAGTGACCTCAAAAATTCGTTGAATGTCAGCCTCACTGTTTCGAGGGCCCCCAGATCCCCAATATACCATGATTGTATTTCCACTGATAGGATGGTGGATTGAAGTAATGATTCTATTGTTCAAGTGACTCATGTTGAATTTTAGATGATAAAGTGATTATGTTAATTGCCATTAAGCAAGAAAAAAAATAAAAGATTATCTTCTTAAGACTAATTGACAGTGATTAGACTTTTTGTGACTCATATATGGTTTGAGTAAGATGATTACCAACAAAAAAGGTGACCATGTGAGAGTTCTTCTGCTCCTGCGGTCTCAAGAACTTCATTGCCTTTTTCCTGTCATTGTTGGCGAAGTGGTTTGTGAAAATGGACTCCACTTCATCCATTAGTCTTACCACCTTAATTACCAAACCAAATAGAATTCATATTAGGGGTAAAAGAAACTCAAAACATCTTTCATTCTCCAATAATACCGAAAGAAAGTGCAATTCAATGAGATTTCAATTATTATCATGAATAAAGTTAATCACTAAATTAAAGTAATTGATAATATAAGTTCCGTGATTGCATGATCCATATATGATCCAAACTCTTCTATTTTCAAAATTAGCTAGTGGAAGTGGTTTCTATCCATCCAATAATAGTCTTTGCTTAAGAAATAAATATACCAAAATACACAAAGGTGAAATATACTGACTGACCTTATCAGAGCTAATGAAATGGGATCGCTTCACTGCTTTCAAATAACTTGCTGATGCCTGTTGGTTTGATACCTGACCAAACCATAGAACACACCATTTTTTTTTATCAAAACAAATTCTTATAATTTTGGGTTGCATTCTTCATAAAGTTTATGATCTATAAAAGAACTTCTATTTGTTCATCCAAACAATGAATGTCTTTGAAATTCATATCCAAATGTGGGATATCTGTCCTATATAATGAGGCTGATAGATTACCTTGTCAAACTTCTTGAGTATTTTTGTGAAGGCCACCATATTTAGTGAGCTGCCAAAAATGGTCCATACATATTAGAATCTGATTAACTCAGAAAATAGTACATTTCTAGCAACTATAAAAATGCGTCACAACCAAAAAAAAAAAAAGCTAGTAAACAGTCCTTCAAGGGCATTCCATTTATCACCCATCTCTTATTTCCTTAAAAGAATATCAATGTATAATTAACATTATACCCAAGTTTCATGATTTTTCTTAAGTTATAAGTTAACTTAACTCTATACCAGAAGTTATAATCATTACACTCACAAATCACTGAATATGGATAACTCATCAGAATAAATCTAAATCAAACTGACACAATAGATTTAAACATGAGATCAGATTAAATTAAAAAATCTTCGTCTCCAAGAAAGCACTAACATCTGACCATCATAGTTGACCTTGTCAAATTTCATGCCCCAACCAGGGATTTAAATAGTGGTTTGTTGTCGGAATAATGGTCATTATACAACGGTAGTGATACTGTCCGAAACTATTATTGCATGACTGTGATATCCTTGATTACCGTATTAACATCTGCTATATCTTCAATAGTAATAAACGCAACACAACTGAAAACACGATCGTAATCACAATTTAAATCATGGCCCAACCTTATTTTTCTTTCCTTTATATGTCTTTTACATACATGCATAGCATTTTTGACAGTCGAAGTGGTGGTCAATAAAAGCAAATTCAGAAACAGCCAAAGTTGTATCCATCACTTTCAATCTCAATCACCCACCAATAATTTCTACTTGCAAATAAAAAGAAAAATAAGATCCTTAAAGTGTGTTCATATGCTAATTTCCATGCAACAGTGGCACCAAAAACCAGAAAAAACAAAATTAAAACAAACCTGTAAGTTTTGAGCAGGCCAAGACCTCTGTAGAGTTCGACAAATGCACTCCTGATCATCTTTTCAGCACATTGGATCTTCTTCTTGTTGATGAAATCCCCGTTACCTTCTTTCTTGGGATGGTTGACCAGATCTTCCCAGATCATCGATGTGACGGCGGAGATGGTTCGAGCCGGCGTTGTAGCCGGGATGTCGATCCTCATAGCCATCTTCGGCTTCCCTTTCTTCGTCATCATGGCCTTGCAGCTTGCTGAATTCATGAAATTCACACCATTCCTTTCTAATGCTGCGATCACCTCGTCTGTTTGTGAGATCTCCGTGGAACTATCATTCAATACCGCCGCGCTCTCTGCATTTTATTACTTTGATTTATTAGTTAATGTAACATTCAACAGTAGTGTATCAACCGCAAATTAATTCATTGAATCTAATACAGAATTTAACGGTGTAATTGAAGAACCAAAATTTTTAAAAATCTTACTCTACTTAATTAAAAGGATGTTATCAAAAATAAATAATCAACATTACGGAATAATTATGCGGCTCCAATTAATTCATTGATTTTCTAGAAGGGTGAAGTACACAAATGATCGCTTTGCTTTATTAAGTCTATTAACTATTAAAAGTTATAAAATTATCCTCTGATTATAGTACGTTGCTTTGTTGAGTCTCCGGCTATTAAAAGTTACAGAATAATCACCAGAAATTTTATATGTTCCAAACTTGTATTTTTTTATTAAAATATTGATAGCAATCTAAGACAGATATTAATATGCTGACTGAGATATGATAATCGTTTGAGATTCTAGGATCAGATTTTAACATATCCCAGTCAGTAGGTTAACGTCCAGTTCAGATTGCTATCAATTTTTTTAACGAAAAAGTATAAGTTTAGAACATACCAATAGTCGAGTGACCATTTTGTAACTTTTAATAATTATGGGATTCAATAAAACAAAACCCTATAGTCTAAGGATCATTTTATAACTTTGAATAATTGAGAGACTCGACAAAATAACACTCTATAATCAATGGACCATTTGTGTACTTTACCCTTTCAAGAATTTATAATAAAATCTTACCTTTTCAGTTTCTATCTCTAATTTAGAATTAACATTTTTCTTTGTATTATTTGAGAAATAAAAAAAATAAAAAAATGTTTGTAATTTGTGGAATTCAAAAAATCCAAAGTGAAACCGAACGCCACCATTGAAGTCGGTTTTCAAATTTCCTCCTCTCTCTGAACATTCATGAACCCATAAAAAGAGGTCTTTAAGAGTGTGAATATTGTACGTAACGTAGTCAATCAGGTAGGACAGGTGTACTGTCAAGGCTAAAACCATGAAATAAAAGTCAAATACACAGCAATACTGCTGTGTGCCTAATATTTGCTTTCCTTTGTCGCCTTTCTTTCCATCCATCTCGGTTTCATGCTTATCTATTTCACCTACAATATCTAAAATATATTTCTTTATATCAACCATCGACTGGTTTTAATAGCTAAAAGGTAATGCTATTTTTTTCTTAAGGTTTTACTTTCAAGCATTTATATTTATACAGTACTTATGTATTTTTAATAATTAAAAAAAATTATAAACAAATATTACCTTACAATCATCTTAATTATTCAAATAAAATATATCATTTCATTCCATTTAAGTATTTAATACGCTAATAATATATTATATATAATGTTTTATGTTATCAGTGAATAAAATAATGGTATATTATTAAAAATAAATATATATAAATTGAAATTTAGAATTTTATGATAGTATATGAATTTAGTTATAATATATAAAATAATGATTTATTATTGAAAATAAATATAATTATAAAATTTTATGATGGTATATGAATTTATTAATAGAACATTCCGTGCATTGCCAATATCAAATATTAATTATTTGATTATTTATATTAATATTTAAGATTTAAAGTGAGTTGAGTCGAGTTAAAGTATTGTAGAACTTGACTCGACTTGAATATTATAAAATTAAATTTGACTCAACTCGAAAATTTACGAGTTTAAAATTATCAAGCTCGACTTGAATTTAAAACTTAAAATTCGACTTGAAATAAAAATTGAAGTTCGACTCGAGCTCAAAAAAACTTGAACTCGAAATATTCTTAGACTTAACTTGATTGAACCTCTAACTCGAGCTCAAACCTAAACCATAAGTACCTGAAAGCCTTATACTATATTAAAAAAAAGAACTACATATAAATATTATTATTAATAATTTAATTTAAAAATAAAAAAAATTATATATTATTTTTACGAGTTACTCGTGAGCTTTTTGAGTTAAGTATGAAGTAACTCGATTCGATTGGTTAACAATTCAAGTCGAGTCCATTTGATTTGAGAGTTGATCGAATTTTAATCAAGTCGATTTAAAGTAGTTCGCAATATATCTCGTCTCATTGACATAGAAGTAAGTTTAATAATTATCTTTATGTTATTTGAGGTTTTTTTTTTAGAGGTTATCTATTTTTAATTAGCTATAAATGTATTTATATTATTTGACTTTGAACCTAAATTCGTTATTTACTCTAATCATTTTGAGTTTTGTTTAAGAATTTGCCATCCTGTGTATTTTTTAATTGTTTTATGAGTTAGACCTTATTATATAATAATTAACTCAAATCATACGTAATAGATATAAATTTATAATATGATAAATACGATAAGATAATGGAACTATTATAAACCTTTATAAAAAACACTAAACAATCTGATAAATACAACTTAATATATTTAATCATGATTAACAATCGTATTTAGAATTAATAACTTATATTATTTTATGTTTATCGTTGTGCAATTAATATTTTAAAAAGGATATAAAACACTAAATAATTTTATACTTGTTCAACGGCTAAACTATATGCCTAATTCATCATGCACAGTTTTTCCGACTCATGTTGAGTTGGTCCTACTTAGATTACTAATTAATAATTTTCTATAAAAAAATAATTTTTTTAAATCCAATTACAAAACTACATAAATATTATTATAAATAATTTTTTATTATTTTTAATAATAAAAAACATGGTAAAATCATTTTATCTAATTTAAATCTCAAGAAAAATTTAAATTATCAAATTAATAGACACTTTTATTCAACGACAGAAAAATCAATGTAAAAAAGCAGGTTAAATAAAAGAGATCCAACAACAAATCGGGTTTATAGATTAGGAGAGAGGACCAAAATAAAACTAGGTAAAGTGTACAATCGTCTCCAACTATAAGGCGTTGTTTTGTTAAGTTATTATACTATTAAAAGTTATAAAATAATATTCCGACTATAGAATGTTACTTTATTAAGTCTCTCGACTATTAAAAGTCACAAAATGAACACCCGACTATTCATATGTTCAAAACGTCTTTTTTCATTAAAAAATTGACGACAATATGAGCTGAACGTTAACCTACCGACTGAGATATGTTAAAAATTTAATTTCAGAATCTCAAATAACTATCATATATCAGTCAACATGTTAATGTTCAGCTCAGAAGATCGTCAATTTTTTCCAAAAAAAATGGACGAGTTTGAAACATATGAATAGTCAGATGATCATTTTGTAACTTTTAATAGTCGAGAGACTCAACAAAACAACATCATATAATTGAATGATCATTTTATAATTTTTAATAATCGAATACTTAATAAAGCAGCGTAATATAATCTATAGATCATTTATGTAGTTTACCCCTAAAAAAAGATTCGCAACATAACAAGCACAAATTTTTGACATAAAATAAAAGTGTGGATATGAGTTTATTAGCAAAACTGTAGAACAAATTTAATTATCACTGATTGTTTCGTGTTTATAATGTGTTTATTTCAAATTCAAGTTATATATATATATTTTTTAAAATTGTTAATAAAATTATTAATGGTTTTTTTCTCAAAGTATGATTTATTTTAATTAGATTTAAGTACCTTTATATTCAATTTATTTCAAATTTTTGTTTAAATTCACGTTTTTTTAGTGGGAATTCTTCTTTTTATCTAAGATTTTATAATCGATATCAAATTGAAAGATAAGACTGGATATGAGTTCTATATTTTTTTCTAAAAAAAACAACACATAATATGGTATCCATTTTTGAAAAAATAAATATTATTTTAAATATATAATTTAATTTTGATGATTTTTAGTCTCACAATAAAAAAAGCATGAAATCATTTTTATCTTTAATCATTTTAAAAATTATTTAAAAAGAATTTTACCCATATTACTGTAACCAGCTATATGACATCGCCAATATATAGTTTCTTTTTATGTATATTAATATAATTTCTTTTTAATTTTACCCACATAATGGACATGTTTTTATTTTTTTAAGATTAATTATTAAAATATAAATTAATAATTTTATTAATATTTTATATTCAAGATTTTTAAATTACCAATAAATAATTAAGATCAACCTTACAAACTCAATATTTGTTTCTAAAACTATTGAAAGAAGCAATTAACTGTATCATACCACGTCAGACCAATATTTCACAAACACAACTAAATTACCATATTGCCCATAAAACCTAGCTTTACCCCACAAAATCGAACACGATACGCGTATTTGTCTTAAATTTTATCATAAAAATATTCGGACATTAACAAAAATAAATGCAAAAAAAAAAACTTGATCGATATCTGACCTGAGAAAGAATCGGAGTTGCGAGAAGAACAAAACGAGTTCGATGAACGTTGAAGGAAAGCCCCGGCGACCGGCTTCCGACGTCGTTGGCAGTCGGTGACGATCTGCTTAAGGTCCAACAGTATCTGAAGTTGCTTGTTCAGAATCTCTCCTCTCTCAAGGAACTCACTCTCTTTCATCTTGTAAAACTGGTTCACCTTGTTTAACTCTCCATCTAATCTTTCAAAAAACACCCTCACCTGCAAAAAAAAAAAATAAAAAATCGAAACCCCATTGCATAATTTCAGGTACATGTATGTATATATACCTCGTCTTCTTCAGAAAACAATTGAACGATTTCAGTTTGATAGAGCACTTCTTCTTCATCAGAATCCATGCTTTTACTCTTTACCTGTAACATGAAAAAAAGGTATGTTTTAATGTCTTTTCTCACTGTATTTTGGGTGTATTCTCACGTTAGTTTCGTGATATTTGAACCTGAAACCGTTGCTTACTTGCTTTCGTGACAAAGTGAGAAAACTCTCAAAAAAGTAACCTAAAAGAGGAAAACCCCATTATATCGAAATCTTCAACATTACAATCCAACATTTTACTAAAAATATCCAAGAATGTAGAAAGCAAGAGTTTCCATTAATGAAAAGATGGGAAAAAAGTTTGATAAACACGACAAAATATGTAATAATTCAAGCAAGCATCGTGTTCAATAAGCTTACTGTAAACTGTAAAGCCAAGAAAAAAAACCCATTTTTCGAATGAAAGATCTTCACAAATTTTTTGCTGGTCTGGTTTTCTAATCACCTGGATGATCTCATTAGTGTTGTTACTGGAGGATCCGAGTAATAGCTTTGATGAACACGAAGCTACTTTCATGGCGACGAAACGAATCGGGTCGAAAATGGACCGACCGAACATTTCAGGGTTAAGGTCATGCGATGAGGGAGGTTTTTTATTGTTCCCGGAGAGCTTGATCTTCTTTACGTGTTTCTTGAGTTGCCAATAGTTTACAAAGGCGTCTTTCCATTCTGGGATTAATTGAGCTTCAAGCTCCTTTGAGAACTTCACCATTGCTTTGTTTCTTATTCTTCTTCTTCTTTATTTGGAGAAAATAGAAAATTATGGTGGAAAATAGAGAAAGAAAAAGAGGGGGAGGGGGAGGGGGAGAGCACAGAGGGGTTTGAGAGGGGATTAGTGAGGTTTATATACAGAGAAAAAGAGAAATCAAAGAGAGATTGAAACGTGCGGAGAAAGTGGAGAGTTTGCCTCTTCTTTATGTACTTTGTTTTTATTTTATTTTTAGATTTATATACGATACATTAAATGGTCACCGATTACATAGTTATTTTATTATGTCCTTTAATTATTAAAAATTATAAAATAATTATTTAATTATTTATAATATTTTAAATTTATTATTTTTATTAAAAATTAACGATAATTTGAGTTGGACATTAATTTACTGACTGAGATATGATAAATATCATGTCTTATAATCTCAAACGATTGTCATATTTTAGTCAACATATTGACATCAAACTCAAATGACATTTAATTTTTTTATCAGAAAATGACGAATTTAAAATATAATAAATAGTAGAGTGACCATTTTATAACTTTTAATAATCGATAGACTCAACAAGTAATTTACTATAATCGATGATCATCTTATAATTTTTCGTAATCAAAACACTCAACAAATTAATAACTTATTGTAATTAAAATTAATCAAATTTATTTTTAAAAAGTTATCACGATGTCTCGATAAAAAAAAAGTTATCATGATGTCATTACTGATTCATCAAATATTAATTTTAAAATAAAATATATATGATATGTTTAAACATTATTAATGAATCAAAGATGTAAACTAAAAAGATTAAATTGAACCTTACAAAAATAATCTGAAAACAATGTTACCAACAATAATTTTGGGTACAAAAAGGGGAAAAAACCAGACTATATCTTCAGCAAAGTCACACGTCTATCATCTTGTGAAAAATGTATAACCAAATCATGTTTTATCGGATTATGTCCATTAATTTTTCACATCATAATAATATATATATTTTACAAAGTAGAATGATAATCCTCGTTATAAAATTTAAGTAAAATAGATAATATAAATTTTTGGGTAAAGCATACTAATGGTCCCTTGACTATATGGTGTTACTTTGTTAAGTCTCTTGACTATTAAAAGTTACAAAATGATCCCGACTATAGGGTGTTGCTCTGTTGAGTCCTTTAACTATTAAAAGTTACAAAATGGTCTCCCTGATTATTCATATGTTCCAAACTCATCATTTTCTATTAAAAAATCGGCTATCATCTAAGACAGACGTTAACATGTTGACTTGGATATGATAAAATCTGATCCCATAATCGTTTTAGTTGTATTTTGTGGATCGAATCTTCATTTATATTATGCCGTCGAGCTAGTGTTTGAAACATTATGTTGGAGAGCCAATGCTTGAAAATAACAACGGTGTAGTAGACATCATTAAAATATGATTTTATCATATCTCAATTAACATACTAACGTTTAACTTAGACGAGCATCAAATTTTAGCAGAAAATGATCATTTTGGAACATATGAATAATTGAGTGATCATTTTGTAACTTTTAATACTTAGGGACTCAACAAAACAACTTCTTATAGTCGAAAGAACATTTTGTAAATTTTAATAGTCATGAGACTCAATAAAACAACACATTATTGTCGGGGGGGCCATTTGTGTATTTTACCTTAATTTTTTAATAGTCTAGGATAATTACAAGGGTAGTATTTGTTCAGAATATTTCTTAACCATTAACAACGCACTAGATACAAGTACTCGAACTTAAGACCTCAAAGATGAATAACATCATTTTAACCACGGAGGTCACTTAAGGGATTTTAGATAATATATAAATTAACCTTAGTGATTTTGAATTACATCAAATTTGCTTCTAATATACTCTATAACAGTTTCAAATGCAGTTTGAACAAGGAAAAACAAAACAAATTCAAATCTAGTTTCAGTTCATAGATTCTATATATTAAAGAGTTTTTAAATTTCACGTATTAAATTATTGTCATATGCTAATTTAAAAACTCAATTATTGGTGCATGAATGAAGGAGTTTCTAAAGAGTGCTTTTAAGTGGGCACTTTTCTTATTAGCTTAAATTTGCATTTATAAATTATTTTCGACATTTTAATTTCAAAGTATTTTTTTAATACAATAACCTTAAAAGGTGATGCTTAGCCAATATATTTTCTAAAAATTATATGTCAATTATCTAGACATGCATGGTTAAAGAAAAAAATTGATGAAAGTCGAAACATGGGAATTTGCTTCTAAATAAAAGAAATCCAAATAAAGAAAATATTTATTTATTTTATAATTCAAGAAAGCCTCATCAAGAAAATATATTAATCAAGTGATCTTAGTCGTTAAAAGATTTGTTGCTATCACTTGAGATATCGGGTTTAAGCACTGTGTATGCCAGAGATATGAGCAATGATTATCTAAAGGTTTAATATATTTAAACAAATGTTATCTTATATTAACCTCATATTTTTAAATAAAAATGCTAATCACTAAATTATAATAATAATATTTTAAAAAAGCTGACATTATTCGATTGCTTGCTCAAATTTATGATTTGCCTTCTTTTTATGTGACAATAGCCTAACTATATAAAATATGATTTCATATTATAAAAATTTGTTTAATTGATTTGGTTCATAAATTCATATACATATATATAACATGTCTAAATATATTATCAAATATTTCATTCTATTTCTTATTTTATATCTATATTTGCATCCAAACATTTACTTCAATTAAAAATTCATCTTTTTTTAGCCTCAAAAAGTTTATGAATTGTATACCGAAGGAAAATGATGTTTACCCGTCAGAGAAATGTAAAATATTATTGAATTTTCTTTTTAAAAAAAATCCTTAGCAATTTCAGTTCTATTTGAGAATTGAGAGAGATAAAATAAATAAAAAAGGGAACAAGCTTTTAGTATAGTACAAGGAATCTAAGTATAAGAATATTCCAAAGGGAGAAAGCTTATTAGAGAGAATTTTAATTAAAAATGGGGGATGGGTGAAGGCAATAAAGCACTACACGATTAAATGAAGGGTTTTGTTTTCTTTATAAGTTGGGGCCTCAACCACGTCTCCCCACCTAATTATTGCTTTGCCTTAGTGTTGATAACTCATCTTCCACAAACCACAGCATCCCCCAACAACCTACTGCGTTTAAGCTCTTATGGCCATGGAGGTTGGGCTTCCCTTTGCTACACTATTCCACCAAAGTAACAATGGGGAGGGAAGAAAGGTGAACTTGGGTTAACCTAGTGTTGTTACAATAGTAAACAAAATCTAATATAATATGAAACCTAATGAATTCACATATGTCAAACCATTAAGAATAAGAACTAAACGCATAACACTATTTAAATCCATCGGTGAATAAAAAAATGAATATTGATATTGAAATCTTGAATTTATGGGGTTTACCTCCCAAATTAACACAAATCATTTTGAGAAAATACTCTCACCAACTCAAATGTAATTAAAGACCATTACCTTAATAAATAACCTATCATGTGAATCAAATCTTTTAACTAGGCCATCATCAATTAAAAATTAGTTATTTGGGTATCCACACATATATAGGTCATAGTTATTTGGGTGTGAGGAGGTTGGTTGGTGGTTAGTGCGTTTTAATTTGTTGTAGATTAAAGGTTATTTGCTCTGATGGTGTCGTTGGGATGCTGCTTGGTAATGTCAAGTTATGTTGGTAAGTTTGCTATTGTATGTGTGAATTTTCAGTATTAAGTGCAGGCTGCACCGTCAGTAATGCTTCAAAGCACTTGTAATAGTAATGTTAGTTTGTTCTAGCTATGGTTGTGTCTGTATGATTGTAACCCCTAGACTCAGTCTATGCATTACGACTAGGTTTAACGGATTACATTAAAATTTCTCAAAATATTTTTCAAAACGTTATTCGGTAATTTATAATATTACAAATTAAATCTATAAAAATATAATAAATAACGATAAAAACTAAACTCGTAATTATAAAACTATAAGTGACTAAGTAAAATAAAACATGCCATAATTTCGTATCACGGTAGTTTGAATACCAGTAGTAAATGCCATAAAATAAGTACTTCAAAATAAAGGTACATGTCACCGAAATGAAATCAACTTGGAAGATAAAAAAACATTACAATCAGATGGACTGCAAGAAATGTGTCGATCCTCCAAGTGTCAAGTTCGGGGTGCCTATCCAATGGTATCTGAAAGGGGTAAAACAGTTTGAAAAGTGAGTTAGAGCTCAATGTGTCCCAACAGTGCAAATAAGCATAATGGTGAAATAATCAAGTAATAGTTTAGTAAAATATCATAAAAAATCACAGTGAAGTTTAAGTTTTAAAACTCGTAGTTTACTCTCCTCCCATACACCATATGCAGTTCTCCAGAACTGCATCCATAGGACTTACCTTATTCCCATTGGGTATAAGGAGCCAACCTAAGAGAGCATCTTGGGGCCTAAAAGCCTACCCAAGAAAGTTCTTGGGGCCTGAGAGCCTACCTAAGGGTCGCCTTAGGTTCGTAAGGAATTACCAACTTGATCAGAGCTGAACCTCTATACTCCAGTATCCTACCCAAATCAATATCTCAATAAAACAGTTCACATAATAAGTAGTAAATTCCATGATTCATAATTGGTATAATCATATTTCTAGTGAAAACAGATAATCAGATAACATATATCATTCAGCCATAGTCCATAAGCAATCAACCAGTAAATCATAAATTTCGGTGAAACACATTTCAAAATAGATAAAACAGTCATGTAGCACATAGAGAATGCACCTCACAATATGGGTCAGACAACAAATCTATTGAGCACCAGCCTCGTCATGCTCTGCAGTGCTCGAACCTAATTCATAATAAAAATGGATTAATATCGAAGTAATATTCTAATATAGGTATTTATAAGGTTCACAGGTCATATGAATGACTACTGGCTCATGAGGTCAAACGGATCGAGAATAGTTGGGTCGGGCTGTCGAACGATCGAGAAAGTCTCGTGTACCTTCAAATAACAATATATGATCAGTCTCCAACCTTAATTTAATTATTCGTAAATAAAATGCTT